TGACCTGGCCCAGGTATCCTGGATGGATATAGATTTCATTCCGTCAGTAGAGGATGCCTGGTTGTTCTTTAAAAGTAATTTCCTCTCAATCTTAAATAGACATGCCCCATTCAAAAAATACAGAACTAAGAACAGATATAGCCCCTGGTTCTCCTCAGACTTGACTGCCCTTGACCAGCACAAAAACATCCTGTGGCGTACTGCATTAGCATCAAATAGCCCCCGCGATATGCAACTTTTCAGGGAAGTTAGGAACCAATATACACAAGCAGTTAGGAAAGCAAAGGCTAACTTTTTCAAACAGAAATTTGCATCCTGTAGCACTAACTCCAAAAAGTTTTGGGACACTGTAAAGTCCATGGAAAATAAGAGCACTTCCTCCCAGCTGCCCACTGCACTGAGGCTAGGAAACACTATCACCACCGATAAATCTACAATAATCGAGAATTTCAACAAGCATTTTGCTACGGCTGGCCATGCTTTCCACCTGGCTACCACTACCCCGGCCACCAGCTCTGCACCCTCCGCTGCAACTTGCCCATGCCCCCACCGCTTCTCCTTCACACAAATCCAGACAGCTAAAGGACACCAATAAGAAGAAGAGACCCGCTTGGGCTAAGAAACACGAGCAATGGACATTAGACCGGTGGACATTTGTCCTTTGGTCTTGAGTCCAAATTGGAGATTTTTGGTTCAAACCGCCGTGTCTTTGTGAGACGCGGTGTGGGTGAACGGATGATCTCTGCATGTGTATTTCCCACTGTAAAGCATGGAGGAGGAGGTGTTATGGTGTGGGGGTGCTTTGCTGGTGACACTGTCTGTGATTTATTTAGAATTCAAGGCACACTTAACCAGCATGGCTACCACAGCATTCTGCAGCGATAAGCCATCCCATCTGGTTTGGGCTTAGTGGGACTATGATTTGTTTTTCAATAGGACAATGACTCAACACACCTCCAGGCTGTGTGAGGGCTATTTGACCAAGAAGGAGAGTGATGGAGTGCTACATCAGATGACCTGGCCTCCACAATCCCCCGACCTAAACCCAATTGAGATGGTTTGGGATGAGTCGGACGGCAGAGTGAAGGAAAAGCAGTCAACAAGTGCTCAGCATATGTGGGAACTCCTTCAAGACTGTTGGAAAAGCATTCCAGGTGAAGCTGGTTGACAGAATGCCAAGAGTGTGCAAAGCTGTTATCAAGGCAAAGGGTGGCTATTTGAAGAATCTCAAATCTCAAATATATTTTGATTTGTTTAACACTTTTTTGGTTACTACATGATTCCAAATGTGTTATTTCATAGTTTTCATGTCTTCACTATTATTATACAATGTAGAAAATAGTACAAATTCAGAAAAACCCTTGAATGAGTAGGTGTGTCCAAACATTTGACTGGCACTGTACATATATATTTATTTATGTATATATTTACTCTGACATTGCTCGTTCTAATATTTCTATATTTCTTAATTACATTATTTTACTTTTTAGATTTGCGTGTATTGTTTTGTATTGTTAGATATTACTGCACTGTTGGAGCTAGGAACATAAGCATTTCGCAACACCCACAATAACATCTGCTAAATAATGTGTATGTGACCAATAAAATGAGATTTTTATTTAATTTTTAGCTTAGGGGTTAGGTTTAGGGTTGCAATTTGGGATAGAATTAGGGTTAGGGGATAGGTTTAGGGTTAAGGGTTACGTTTAGGGGTTAAGGTAAGGGCTAAGGTTAGGGTTAAGGTTTGGTTTAGGATTAGGATTAGGGGTTTGGGAAAATTGGATTTTTTATGGAAATCAATTTTAGTTCCCCACAAAGATAGAAAAACAAGTGTGTGAGTTTGTGTGTGCGCTTTTCACAAGTATGTGGTAAGTTTTCACAACACTTAGTAAAAAAAACTAACAGATCATAAAAAAGGCAGTTGGTTCAAAACTCTAAGGACATTTTCACTAAGTATAACACACGCAATCATCCAGTCACTTTTTCACCAAACTTAAATCAGTGTTTCAGCTAGAAATACATGTTTCACATTGCAATACATATTCATATAAAGTAATTGCTTTTCACAATGCAATCCTCACATTACTTTTAATTCTTTAGAGTCCAAGAAGTTTGGGGGGGGGGAGGGGTGCAAAGCTGTAATATAGTGCATTCGGAAAGTATTCAGACCCCTTGACTTTTCCAAATTTTGATACATTAAAGGTTTGTTCTAAAATTGATTAAATCTTTTTTTCCTAATCAATCTACACAGACAACCCCATAATCACAAAGCAAAAACTGGGTTTTAGACATTTTTGCAAATGTATAATAGAAAATAATAAATAAAACATTTACATAAGTATTCAGACCCTTTACCTAAGACTTTGTTGAAGCACCTTTGTCAGTGATTACAGCCTCAAGTCTTCTTGGGTATGACGCTACAAGCTTGGCACACCTGTATTTGGCGCTGTCAGTTTGGATGGGGAGCGTCGCTGCACAGTTATTTTCAGGTCTCTCCAGAGATGTTTGATCGGGTTGCGCAGACGAGATCCTGAGTCCCATTATCGTGCCATTCATCCGCTGTCATCACCTCATGTTTCAGCATGATAATGCACGGCCCCATGTCGCAAGGATGTGTACAAATTTCCTGGAACCTAAAAATACTTGTCACCCACTGACCATGTTTGGGATGCTATGGGTCGACGTGTACAACAGCGTGTTCCAGTTCCCGCCAATATCCAGCAACTTCGCACAGCCATTGAAGAGGAGTGGGACAACATTCCACAGGCAACAATCAACAACCTGATCAACTCTATGCATAGGAGATGTTGCGCTGCATGAGGCAAATGGTGGTCACACCAGATACTGACTGGTTTTCTGATCCACGCCCCTGCCTTTAAAAAAAAGTTATCTGTGACCAACAGATGCGTATCTGTATTCCCAATCATGTGAAATTCATAGATTAGGGCCTAATGAGTTTATTTCAATTAAATGATTTCCTCATATGAACTGTAAGTTAGTAAAATCGTAGAAATTGTTGCATGTTGCGTACATTATTTTTTTCCAGTATACATATGAACATGCATATGTTAAAACACACATACATGCAGACTCACACTCACATTGACTGAAACATAAACATGCATAGCGCACTCACACACGCACACACGCACACAAGCACACACTCATGCATAGACACAAAGGCACACACAAACCCATGCATACACACAGGCACGCGCGCACACACACAAACAAGCAGACACACAGCGTGTGAAATCATGAAGTTAGTCCCATTACTCTCCTTTGTGTAAAGTACCATTTTCCATCAAGTTAAAGTGCTTTTAGTATTGTTAACATACATCTCCAATACATTTTTCCTTTGAAAAAGAAAACAGAAAATAACAGATCAACCAACCCATAATGTATGATTTGGATGTTAACGCAGAGTACTAGCTATATTTCACTATATTTGAAGGTGACCACTCTGGAAACCTCTTTCTCAAAGCTACGGATCCGGATCACGTTCTGTTATTATAAGCACACATTTTTTCTACATAGCTGGTGCTCACACTCCACCTCCCTTCACGTTTCTCTCTTTACCCACCATCTACTGAACCATGATGATGTAGCCTAAGTCTCTGCCTCATTTGAATGAACATTCAAGGCCATTATGAAGGTTACAACATTGCATTGGAGCAAAAACAATCTGCGTTTTGTGTGATGATGTAGGCTAATCTTTGTAGTTGCTGCCATATCGAAGCCACGAGCCAGAGTTGCTGAAAAAGAACAGTACTACTTTGACTGCCTGTCTGCATGTCCATTGTGTACAACTTGAAGTTTGTAGGAAACACCCATATATATAGTTAGACGAAGCATTATTGTATCTGTCCCATTATGAGAGCATGGGCAGGGCCATTGAGGTCATCTCCATTTTGAAATAGTCCATTTTCTTCTTCTACTACTTTTATGAGTTGGTAAACAAACTGAATGTGTTATTTGAACAGGTATAAACCAAGGTTGGTGATTTACTGCCACCTGCAGTTATGGAATGTTTGCTCATGAGTATAAATCATTTGTTGATCCCTCCTGATGACCTGGATGGAATTATGTGATCCTTCCTTAACCCATAGAAGTCCTACCCAGTTGACTTCTTCAAAATGGTGAAAGCCCTCAATGGCATTGACCATGCTAAAATAGGTTTTTGGGCACTAGAATTCTCTTTCTATCTCTATGGCTACACCAGACAAAGATGATCATCGCCAATCAAGGAGGGGAAGCGGCAGTGGAGCAGCTACGTAGGTAGTGGAGTGGGCAGCAGCTAAATAAATACAAATCTGCACATACACAGAAATCTTTAGACACGGCAAATCGGGTTTCCAGCAAATCCAGAACTGCAGCCACTCCGATATTTGAGCTTTTCTCCACAGGACAAATGCTTTTGCTTTTAGCCATAATTGACTTTTCATATCTCTGCAGTTCCTCGACATAACCTGCTGGATGTGACAGATACCTTTTATAGTTATATTTGAAATATGATTTCCCATCGTATTAAATAATTAGACATACAGTATGTTTATAAAAAACAAACATTCATTATTACATACTCGGTTGGTTTTTGCTTGCTTACTTGATTTATTGATTGAATGATTGGTTTATGTATTTACTAATTGATTGGTCGATTTGATTGATTGATTAGATGGGCTTCCCATTTTCAATTCAGCTGTTTTGTATATAACATTTATTTTAAAGCATGTACAGTAAAAATATTCATCTGCATGTTTTCATTTTCATTAACAGAAAATAAGACAGTATGCACAACAATCTATCGTTGAAGAGGAAATCTGCAGTTCAAATAATAACAACGCGGGCACCCTGCCACCAATTTTCTTTACAATTTATAATGTTTACAAACAATGGAGTTAAACAAGCATATGTTGTTTTCTGCATGAATCAATAGTTATATACCATTCATTGAAAAGTATGTAGAAATCGCAGATTGCCACTTTAAATATGGATGAAATTAGACATAAACTAAATAAACAATCAATTGTCATAATTTCCCCTGTGTTTGCGGTTCGTTACCTGAGTCTATGGGTTAAGTCTTAATCAAGGTAACATCAGGGGATCTCTGAGAAGGATGGAGGGGTAATCTCCTATTGTGCAATACACAGTGTCTGGTTTATTTTGATTATTTCCTTTACCCACTGGGTGGCGCTGTGCTGCAGCTGGTTTCTGTAAGGTGCTATAGAAGACTGATGTAGGCTCTGCCTCAGAAGGGCTCTGTGGTTCCGTCCTCTCTTCTGGTGAAGTGTACTCTTTGTCTCCTGGATGGACTTCTTCTCCTCCTGCTACTGCTGGTACTGCTGCTCCTGGTCTCCCTGCAGTGTCGTAGATTGATGTCACCTCAGATCCAGGGGTGTTCTGTGGTTCTGGTCTTCCTGGTAAAGCACTCACTGGGATGTCAACTTCTGGAACAACAGCCTGTTAGGAGATTATTAATCATAACGTGCAAATTATCATTAATTAAAATGTTGTTTAAAATTGTTTTAAAAAGACGTTGGGGGGTGGGGGAATTGCTTTAAGATGGTCATACCATGGATCATGTAGCTATTTGAATTGGAATTTTAGGACCCCTTTAGGTATCAAAAACAATTATTTGTAAATGTTTTGATAAAATATTGAATGTGGCCCTTAGTCCCAAATCCCATAGAAACGCATTGAATAACACATTCATAAATGGCAAAAAAGACAGTTAAAAATAAATCATAAGGAGTAAGGTTTTGAAGTGTCTGTCCTATATCTAGGAGATTCAATGAATATTTTTGCTTTTTTTGACACATATTTAACTCCTTTTTTGGGGTAGGCACAAAAAGACCTCCATACTTCCATTCATTTTTAAACCAGTAACGGTTACCTTCAAACGGGTCGTAGAGCAAAACGGAGAACACCATCGTGTTTGTAAAAATCTCCCCTTTCCACAGTGGGGTCACATTAGTTCAGACTCTACAGGCGTTTTCATGAGACGACTGATTTCAGGGATGTCTCATGGTCTGACAAACACCGCTGTAGCATGGGCTGCATCTCAATCCACTTCATCCGCCTATGGCGGCCTACCGCATCTGCGGTGATTGAGATGCAGCCCATGCAAAAACACAGATATCTCTAGCTTAAACTGACAGATTTTGATGTGGATTTTATGTTACTTATATTTACGCACCGTTGTTTAAACATAGATTAATGATAGAGAGGGTACCTTCAGTAGCTGTTTTTCTTTAGGGGATCGCCGTCTTCTGGTTGATGTGATGCATCCTACACCAACTAAGAATAATCCACCAGTAACAATGCCCACAATGGTGCCAACTGGTGATGCTGCAGCGATCCCCTTCTTCTCACCAATACCTGAGATGTCGCACACACACACACACATTCACATACACATTTACATGACACACACACAAACACACACACAGGCACAAAAGCAGCATTATCCACATTTTTGCTGGAGAAGAATATAACTGCAATGATGTTAAAAGTTTGTTGATTTTTTTAATAAATATAGAGGTATGTACAGAAAGTGGAAGTTAGTAAGTTAGACTTACATATGTCCTCCATGCGTTGTGATTTGGTCTCTGCACTGACGTGATTGTTGACGATACACTGGATGAATCCATTACCACTGGAGACGGTGATGTTGACCTCAGAGAATGACAGAGAATCCTGGTACAGTGTGCACTGACCTCCATTACAGACAGAAAACATCCAGCCTGAACAATTCACTGTGATGTTACAAAGTCCTGTACTTGAGTTGGAGTATGTCACCTGCATGGCTGGAATGGGAACAGCTTCTACAACAACCAATAAAGTTCAGAAAGATACATTTTACATGTATGACTGGTGAAGACATTTTAAAGGAGATTAGCTTTTTCAAGCAAAGCAGAAATAGATAGCAGACTACCAAAACACTAAAAAATCACAAAACTCACCCAACACCTTAAGTCTGTATGAAGACGTTGAATCTGTCCAATCTATTTTCTGTGCATTTGCAATGTAAATTCCACTGTCTGTGTCCGTCAGATTCTTAATGCACAGTGTTTGGTTCACTGGGTTATAATCTACCTTCTCCTTGTATTTAGGAGATATCTCTTTATCATCAACTATTATATCATTTTGGAACTTCCATTGAATTCGTTTGAGTTGATCAGGTAGTTCTGCAACAGCCAGACACACCAAACCTCCGTTCAAGCCATACTGGTCTATTGGAGGGTCTTCAGCCCAGGTCCCTAAAGAGAGAGGAAGAGGTTCACCGGGCGCAGAGTTTGCAGCTCTTTATTCAGATAGGGATCATCTTAATAAGTGTTTAATCTAGAAATACATGTTTTTACTGAATTACAGTTAATTTAAGGAAATTAGTAAATTGAAATACATTTTATTACAGACAGAAATACTCCTCAGCACAGGATGTGGAGGTCTTGGGCTGCGGTTGTGAGGCCGGTTGGACGTACTACCAAATTCTCTAAAATGACGTTGGAGGCGGCTTATGGTAGAGAAATTAACATTAAATTATCTGGCAATAGCTCTGGTGATCATTCCAGCAGTCAGCATGCCAATTGCACTCTCCATCAAAACTTAAGTCATCTGTGGTATTGTGTTTTGTGACAAAACTGCACATTTTAGAGTGGCCTTTTACTGTCCACAGCACAAGGTGCACCTGTGTAATGATCATGCTCTTTAATCAGCTTCTTGATATGCCACACCTGTCAGGTGGATGGATTATCTTGGCAAAGGACAAATGCTCAATAACAGGGATGTAAACAATTCTGTCCACAAAATTTGAAAGAAATAAGCTTTTTGTGCGTATGGAGAATTTCTGGGATGTTTTATTTCAGCTCATGAAACATGGGACCAACACTTAGCATGTTGTGTTTATATTTTTGTTCAGTATAATAGCTTTCCACAATGCAATTCTCACATTACTTTTAAGATGATAAAAACACACACACATATAAATATATATCTGTAACTTTCTCACTCATAATTATTCACAATTCAACATCCCTCTAGTTCACAAAATCTGTTGTAAACAAAGCAGTTTAAAATCTATAGGTTTACCAAACGGTTAAGTGATTATCAATTAAGAGCAGTCGGATTCATTTGACAGAGACGGACCGAGACGTTTAAAAACAGGCCCTTCATAGTATATTAGTGATTAGGTTCCAGAGATGAGCGCCGTCCTGGGCAGTACATTATAAACTATCACAGACATGGCCCGCGTTCAGCAGGATGCAACATTTTGGAACCTTCAGAGACAAATATTCCATGTAGAACACAGGCGGCCGGTGGCACCTTAATTGGGGAGGACAGGCTCATTGTAATGGCTGGAATGGAATCGATGGAATGGTATTGAACACATCAAACATGTTTCCCATACGTTTAATACTATTCCATTTACTCCTTTCCAGCCATTATTATGAGCCGTCCTCCCCTCAGCAGCCTCCTGTGATGTAGACCAAACAGGCCTCTGACATATAAGGGAATAAGGGATCAGGTCAGCTCTATTTGTGGCATTTCTATCTTCTACTGAAAGTGGCCCTGATAAACCAAACCCTCTGACCTATACAACCTTGGCCTACGGCCGGGGGTTGGCCCTGCCAGCAGGCTTAGCACAACCACAGTTCACGACTAGGGGCTGACCCTACCGGGACACCAGCAACTAGGTTAGCTATACAGCTAACGTTAGCTAGGCTAGCTAGGTGGCTATCGTTAGCTAGGCTAGGGGTTAAGGTTAGGTTTAGGGGTTAGGGGTTCAGGTTAGAGATAGGTAACATGCTAGCTATGTAGTTAAAGGGTTAAGGTTAGGGTTAGAAATAGGTTAAGTTTAGCTAACATGCTAGCTAAGTAGTTAAAAAGTAGTAAGTTGTTGCAAAGTTGATAATTAGTTAAATGCTAAAGTAGTCCATGACAACAACAGAAACCTTCAACAGGGCCGGACACCAGGCGTATGTGGCAGGGGCTTCTAACGATCATGAATTAGAAAAAGAAAGCCAGTCACGTCACGAACACCAACGCCACCTTACGAGCTAAAAAACTTTTTCTCTCCTAGCATAAAGACGACTCTGAGCTGCCGAGGAGAGCCCCTGAGAACAACGAGGGCTACATGCTTACTGTAATGAAAACGTATGCAATCACTAACTGTAAGTCGCCCTGGATAAGAACGTCTGCCAAATGACTAAAATGTAAATGTATTCAAGGACCACTTCACCTCCTCCCTTCCAGACACACTCGACCCTCTCCAATATGCCTACCGCCTACAGATCCACGGAAGACGCAAACCCTATCACCCACCTGGACAGAAGGAATGCATATGGGAAGATGCTGTTTGACTACAGCTCGGCCTTCAATACCATAGTGACCTTTAAGCTCACCACAGAGCTCACAGCCCTGAGACTGAACTCCTCCTTATGCAACTGGTTCCTGGACTTCCTGACGGGTCGCTCCCAGGTGGTGAAGTTAGGCAACATTACCTCCTACACACTGATCCTCAACACGGGGGCCCCACAAGGGTACATCCTCTGTCCCCTCCTGTAATTAGTGAGTTAATTAGTGAGTTATTAGCCCAGTTATAGCTCCGTTATAGTCAACAATTGGGGAGTGGTTGCTTCCTACAGGAGCTTAAAATGTGTGCATTTCTAGTCATCTTTGAAAAGGGAGTCAGGTAAAGAGCTTTTTTTATGTCTTAAAGGGGCAGTGTTGTATAAGCTAAGAAGCCAATAGGCAGAGCGTAGCATAATTTGTCTGATTCGCTAATAATGGTATGGGAATAATGAATTTATTTTGTAAAGTGGTTTCTTGCATTAAACAACACAACATTTTCAGTCACCTCCTTGTGTCACGATCGTCGTAATGCGTAACGGACCAAGGCGCAGCGTGATATGCGTACATCTCTATTTATTATATTCACCACACGAACAAAACAACAAAACGATACGTGAAGTCCTTGGGTACATACACAAACCAACACGGAACAAGATCCCACAATACACTGTGCCAAACAGGCTGCCTAAGTATGGTTCCCAATCAGAGACAACAAGCAACAGCTGATTCTCGTTGCCTCTGATTGAGAACCACCCCGGCCAACATAGATACACATTGAACTAGATCCTGAACATAGAAACACAAAACATAGACTCTCGTGACAGATGATCCCACCAAAACTGGACCAAGCAGCGTGTTTCGGAGCAAACGCCGGGTAGGGAGCTGGAGAAGTTGGCGATGGCCCAGGTGGGCCAATGGTGGTCCTGGGAGGACATGTTCGAGGGCAGAGGACCATGGGCAAGGGTTAAAGCCCTGGCGAGAGAGGAGGTACGGCGCCAACAGTGTCGTCGTCGGACAGGCGAGAGGCACCCCCAAGACATTTTTAGGGGGGGGCACATGGCATGGGCGATGGGGCTGCTGGAGGCAGATAAAGGGCGAGTTTGTGGACGAGGAGAGAAGGCCACCGGGTTACGGGAGCCATTGGTGATTAGAGGGAGGGAAAGTGTAGAGGCACGGCGAGAGGTACTGAAGTGTGTTGCCAGTCCGGTCCGGCCCGTTCCTGATCCCCGTATAAGGCCAGTGGTGTGTGTTCCCATTGCAGTCCGGCCTGTTCCTGTCCCTCGCACCAAGCCTGTGATGCGCGTCGCCAGCCCGGTCCGGCCTGTTCCTGCCCCTCGCACCAAGCCAATGGTGCGCGTCGCCAGCCCGGTCCGGCCTGTTCCTGCCCCTCGCACCAAGCCAATGGTGCGCGTCGCCAGCCCGGTCCGGCCTGTTCCTGCCCCTCGCACCAAGCCAATGGTGCGCGTGGCCAGCCCGGTCCGGCCTGTTCCTGCCCCTCGCACCAAGCCAATGGTGCGCGTCGCCAGCCCGGCCCGGCCTGTTCCTGCTCCCCGCACCAAGCCTATGGTGCGCATCGTCAGCCCGGCCCGGCCTGTTCCTGCTCCCCGCACCAAGCCTATGGTGCGCGTCGTCAGCCCGGTCCGGCCCGTTCCTGCTCCCCGCACCAAGCCAGGGGTGCGCGTCGTCAGCCCGGTCCGGCCCATTCCTGCTCACCGCACCAAGCCTGTGGTGCGCATCGTCAGCCCGGTCCGGCCCGTTCCTGCTCCCCGCACCAAGCCAGGGGTGCGTGTCGTCAGCCCGGTCCGGCCCATTCCTGCTCCCCGCACCAAGCCTGTGGTGCGCATTGTCAGCCCGGTCCGGCCCGTTCCTGCTCCCCGCACCAAGCCTGTGGTGCGCGTCGTCAGTCCGGCACAGCCCCTGCCCGTTTCACCGGTGCCTGGTCAGGTACCGGTCAGCTGCTCCACACCGGAGCCTAAGCAATCCGCTCCACCGATGTTCAGTCCAGCTCCAGCCAGCGGGGCCAGACCAGACCAGGGGCACTACGGGGGGGTTATTAGAGGGTGGTGGTCACGCCCGGAGCCGGATCCGCCTCCGAGGAGGAATGCCCACCCGGCCCTCCCCTGTTCGGTTTATGTTTGGCGCGGTCGCAGTCCGCGCCTTTGGGGGGGGGGTACTGTCACGCCCTGGCTCTGGGGACTCTGTTATGTTGAGCCAGGGTGTGTAGAGTCTATGTTTTGTGTTTCTATGTTCAGGATCTAGTTCAATGTGTATCTATGTTGGCCGGGGTGGTTCTCAATCAGAGGCAACGAGAATCAGCTGTTGCTTGTTGTCTCTGATTGGGTACCATACTTAGGCAGCCTGTTTGGCACAGTGTATTGTGGGATCTTGTTCCGTGTATGGTTTGTTTATGTTACCAAGGACTTCACGTATCGTTTTGTTGTTTTTGTCCGTGTGGTGAATAAATAATAAAGTATGGCTGCGCATTGGTCCACTCCTTTCAACGATCGTGACACCTTGTCTGAAGGACAAGTGGATAAACAGGTTAATGTCAAGCCCTGCAGGTTTTTCTTCTCCAAACCTTTCATATAATGTAGGCCTACATTGAACCCAACACATTGGCTGCTACTGTAGGCTGAATGATAAAACAGCTATTTCCATGTTAAAATGTTATGGGTTGCATTTTTTCCATTGTTTTTGATGGTAGGCCACTCTGGTAGGCCTGCAGTAGCCTACTTGGCCAATGTTAAAACTGTAACTTCAAGCGGGTACAGTCTCAGTGTTCACAGTAAAGGCACGCCGGAAGGTGCACAGATTTTCACAATGTTCATGTTTGCACTCAGCAGTCCTGAAATTTGGTGGAAGGCCTGATTACCAACAACGATGAGACGGCCTACAGGGAGGAGGTA